GACCTTGAGCTTGTGAGGCAGGTGCGGTGCCACTGTGCTAAATCCCTGGCCCAGGTCCAGTAATTGGACACATTTTTTTTTTTTTTTTTAGTGATACTGGGAATTGAACTCGGGTCCTTGCGCTTGCACAGCAGGCAGCAAAACCACTGAGCTAAATCCCTGGCCCCACATTTTTTTTTTTAACTCCATGAGTTATTCTTTTTTGTCCTGTCCCCCCCTAGTACTGGGAATTGAACTCAGGACCTTCCGCTTGCCAGGCAGTCATGGTGCCACTGAGCTAAATCCCCGGCTCTGAGTTATTCTAATATATACCTTTTATTATAAACCACTACAGTTTTGGAAATCCTCTGGCTCTGTGGGGAGTCTACATTTGGCTGATATAATGAGTCAGTCCTTTTAAGCATAATGGTATTATAGGGGTAAACTAAGTGCTGCAAGTGTTTCTGTTGCAGCCTAGAGTCCAGTAAGTCCTTGCTCTCCCTCCAAGCTGTCCTTTAGGGTTCACAAGAACTCTCCTCTGCTAGGCCCATTTCATTTCTCACAGGCCTCTCAGATTTCACTTATTTAAAGCAAAGTCCTTAATTACCTTCCTACCCCACCACCACCCAGAAACAACAGAACCCCTCAGTTTTCTGTCTTTGGAAATCTACCCACTTTGTCTAGCCAAAAACCTGCATGCTTTTTGATTTTTGCTTTTCCTTTAGATTCTGTGTCTAATCTGTCAGATACTCCTGTGAGTTTATTCCTAAAATAGATCTCTCATCCAAATATTTTCTCTCCATCTTCACTGTCATTGCTCTAATCCAAGCATCACTTTAGAAAAATCTTTGTTTGTTTGTTTTTTAGAGACAGTGTCTTGGTTTGTAGTTCAGGCTGGCTCTGAACTCACTATGTATCCCAGTATACATGGGCCAGACAATAAGATCAACAGGAATATTATGAATATAGCCAACAGATGTTTCCACCAGGAAGAGCTGATACCTCTGCTTATGACCATTTACATTAAAACCCATAGTTTTTACTGTAGCTTTTAGTCCTTATGTGTCTGGCTTTTGATTCTTTCTCCAGCCCCATTTTAGACTTCTTTCCCTCCACTGGTTTCTTCCTATTCTGGCTTTTTCTAGTTCTTTGGCCCCACCAGGATGGTTTTTTTCAATCTGGGCCCTAAGCACATGCTGTGCCTTCTTCCCAGTCAGTTCTTCCCTGTTCTTCACATGGCAGATTCTATCATGTCCTTTACTCCTTGGCTCAAATGACACCTTCTCAGAGAGCTTTTCTCTGATTACTCTTTATAATTAATTCCCTCTCCTAATTCTACCCAGTATCTCCTCTTCACTTCCTTCATAACAGTGACTGAGTTGGAAATTGTTTATTGACTTATTAATCACTTTTGTTTTTCACTATTAGAATGAGGAGAGACCTTCTTTGTCTTGTATCCCTAATACTTAGAATCTGAATATGAAGCTTATAGGTGTTCAATAAATATGTGTTGAATAAACAAGTGAACTTGCTATCTAGGGGCCTTGACCTGACCATAGTAGAGATATGGTGAGATTAAATAAATGCTTTTTAGTTAGAATGTAAATCAAAACATAGATCTAATGCCTTTCCTTATTACAATGTGTCCTATTTATTTTAGGCTGCCTTTGATACTGGTTGGGAACAAATCTGATCTTGTGGAATATAGTAGTATGGAGACCATCCTTCCAATTATGAATCAGTATACAGAAATAGAAACCTGTGTGGAGGTATGACTCATCATTTGATTTGGAAACTTATTAGTGGTGAATTCTCACTAAATTGAGGTTTTGAATAGGAGGGGAATCATATAGATTGTAATAAATTTTGTGGTTTTTTGGAAGTGATGTAAATCAGATAAAACTTAGAGTTGTCTTCTAAGCTCTTTGTAAGCATTCATATTATGATGTCCACAAAGGATAATTGCATTTTTAAATTTTTTTAAGGAATGTTATTGTTACTGTATATTAACAGTCAAAAATTGTTAAAATTGCCAGGGATTTAGCTCAGTGGTTTTGCTGCCTGCCCCACAAGCTCAAGGTCCCGAGTTCGATCCCTGGTACCAAAAAAAAATTGTTAAAGTTGATTGTGGAGAATATAAAATTTTACACTTTATTTTTCAGTGTTCAGCAAAAAATCTGAAGAACATATCAGAGCTCTTTTATTATGCACAGAAAGCTGTACTTCATCCTACAGGCCCACTGTACTGCCCAGAGGACAAGGAGGTAACTTTCACACTGTTTATAGGGACTAGAATGTAGAGAGAGAAACTCTAGTAATGGTGGCTTTTAGTAGCTCTTACATATTTTTTTTTTTTTTGGTACCGGGGATCGAACTTGGGTCCTTGCACTTGTGCAGCAGGCGGCGAAACCACTGAGCTAAATCCCCGGCCCAGCTCTTACATATTTTTGTAAAGATTAAGCTCCCAAAATTGAAATTTATTGCTTAAGAAATTGTTACATTTTCTAAGTACTTTTCTTCCATGAAATTCACATTAAATGCACAAGATGCTTTCAGGTTAAATATTATTTTAGGAAATTCCATTAAAGCAAACAGAAGAATTGGCAAAAAAAATCCAAATATTTAGCTAATGATCTACTTACTTTACTATTTATTTTTCATTCGTTAATTTTATTGGTACATTTTAGGTATATAATATGCTGACATTCATTATTGGGAATTTGTACCTTTACAGAATATATCTTGGGCTACTTACTTTGCTATTGCAGAATCTACAAACTTAAAAACACTCAAGGGCTGGGGATTTAGCTCAGTGGTTCTGCCGCCTGCCTCGCAAGTGCAAGGTCCCAAGTTTGATCCCCACTACTAAAAAAAAAAATTTGTTTTTTGTTTTTGGTGCTGGGATTAAACCCAGGACCTTGTACATGCTAAGCATACACTCTTTCACAGAGCTATACCCCTAGCCCTTGTATAGTTTTTGGACATGTGTACAATATGTAATAAACGTTTTTTCCCCCCAATAAGTTTTTTGGTATTTTTTTGTATTTTAGGTATAAAATACAGTTACATTCATCATTGGGATCTTGTACCATTACATGAGTATCTTGGTTCTTATTTTTTCCCCCTTCCCCTGCCCT